CACATGCAGAGCTGAGCCTACCTAGAGGGAAAACTGTGGAGCATAGGAAACCCAAGAGACCCTCACTGCAGGGCCTGTCTCTTCGTGGGTGGCTGTCTGGTGACTTTGACTAAGGACTTGGGATAGTTCATCCCTTTTGTGCCTGTGCCTTCCCAGCTCCACATGCTGTTAGCCTCTCTGACCTCAGTGTCCCCTGAGTGAGCCTGATGCTCTGCAACAGTTCAGCTTGACTGAAGCCCTTGTACTCAGGCTGAGGTGTGGCCTCCAGTGCCGAAGTTCTTCCTACCTTTGTGGACTCTGTAGCTAAGTGACTAAGGGATTCATCCAAGGTCACTTAGTAAACAGTGGAGGTGACAAGTTCGCAATTCCATTACAGGTGCCTCAGGCTTTGTCAGGAGTTCAAGGTCAGGGAACCCATACACCAACTCACGGGAAGCTAACGACATAAAGGAGTGGGTCCTGGAAGGATGTCCCAGCAGCCCTAGCCAGACTTGACTGTTAGTTACAGAGGAGTGGCCTTAGGAATGCTGAGTATCCATGCCATTCACTCAAGGGCTCACAGCCTTTAGGAGCCAGACCACGTCTTTCTCCAAGCTGAAACCAGCCTTGGCCCCTGCCCCTGCAGCAGCCCCTGACACCTGACCCAGAGCCACAGAATTGTCTCCTGTGTTCTGAGATACCTAGACAACTTTGCCTGGGCACACTTCTGATCCCTGGCCTTTGTGGTATCTGGTATCTTCAGACAGAGATGAGAAGTTGTGGCCCAGCGTCCATTGGCAGGGATGGCAGGTGTGCGGATGGCCTCCATAGCTGGACACAGCCTGTCAGGAGGCAGGTATCGTCTCATGGCAGCTAATTGCACTTCAGGATAAACAGAGCCTTTTCTATCCCAGCTTGGTGAAGCTCTGGTCTCAGAGCTTTGGGTTGTTGGAAGCTGTTTGAATTGTAGGGTAATCCCAGGCACCCCCAATGAACTGTCCAAATGATTAGGGGGAGGGTTGGTATTGAGGGTGGAGGTTAGAGTTTGGGAGTTCTGTCTGCCAGCACTTCAAGACCTAAGCAAAACTGGCTGTGAGTGTGGGAGATGAAAGTGTTAAGGGTCAAAGATAAGATGTCATACCAGACACCCAGGAAGTGTTAGGAGGGTGTGTTGGGAAGTGTTATATAGGCCAGATGAGGGGCTTTTACTCAGTGGGTAGATAACCCTCTTCTGGTGCTGGGAGAGCTGGGGGTGTAAGGATTCCTGAGCTCTGTGGGCATCCTTTCTGGCCAAGTTCTACACTGTACCTAGTCTTCAGTAGGTAGCATGAAAGTCCCTCTGACCCCACTCTGGGTCAGGGACAAGTGGAGGTGGATCTGTGGAGCTGCCCAGGAGCTGTGGTTGTGTTTCATGCTTGGGTCTTAGAGTTGGGTAGGTATTGGGCTGAGAAGGAGATTCTGGGAAAAGATCAGATTTGGATCAGATGAGGGAACAGGAAGCAAAAGGAGTACTTCCTGTGTGGAGGACTCCAGGTCAAGTGCTTCATGCTGAAAGTGTTTCATGCTTCCTCCCTCTCCCTCCCAGTCCATGAGGCCCCAGACAAGGTTGTACCCAGTTTTTTCACACTCAGGCTTTATTGAAGCAGCAGGCACTAACAGATAAGTTACAGATGTGTAGTCTCAGGTATTCTCCACTATGGCTCACCTACAGTCTCGTCTCCCAGCCCAGCACCAGACTCCCATCCCTTCTCTACCCATTGCAAATAATTTCTGAGACCCCTCCAAGCCCATTTTCTTCAGCTCCAACCCCAGGAAAAGATGGAGCCCCAGAAGTTGCCCTTGGTCTTCTGACATGATTTCCATCCTTCTATGGAGATGACAACTCTTCTTTTTTTTTTTCTTTTTTCTTTTTTTGTTTTGTTTTTCAAGACAGGGTTTCTCTGTGTAGCTTTGTGCCTGTCCTAGAACTCACTCTATAGCCCAGGCTGCCTTGAACTCATAGAGATCCGCCTGGCTCTGCCTCCAGAGTGCTGGGATTAAAGGCGTGTGCCACCACCAACCACCACCACCACCACCACCACCACCTGGCTGACAACTCTTCTTAAGGCTTCCTTGAACTTTGAGAAATCACTTTGCTCAGTAGTACAGTCCTCTGGTGGATCTGAAGGCTGGAGAAACACATGATTAAAATCATCTTCACAGGGGAAAAAAAAAAAACAAAGGAAACTTGCCTTCCCAGCCACGGGGAAGTAACTCAGGGAGACACACACACACACACACACACACACACACACACACACACACACACACACACACACGCTCCCTCTGTCTGAGCAAGCGTAGGGAACCACCTATGACACTGAGATCTAGAGTCTGAGGACCAGAGCTGTGGGAAGGAAGCAAAGAATGTGATGCAGATCCCACGTGCTATCCCAAATAAGGTCACGAGGGTGAGCAAACAGGGATCTGTGGGACCATGCAAGCAAAGGGCAAAGAGAGCACAGCTCAGTCATGTCTCTACATGTTCCCCCACACTGCAGTCTCCTCACGGCTCCCCAAGGGGCTCTTCAGCCCAGAAGAGGCCTCAGGGTGTAGCAACCTGGAACGGGCTTGGTTTTCCTTTGTCCAGCTGAGTTATTGACCAACCTATTTGACCTGTCTCAGACCTGTCCCACATGGATCCTGGGTAGGACACAGGCAGAGGCCCCCCAGAAGTATCCTTGAATTGACCCCCTCCCCCAACTCCATACAGTTTTCCACTCACTCTTCAACCTGTCAATGAGGAGATTTCTTTTGGCTTTGAGATGATCCCAAAGGATACCTGTATGGCTTGACTCCCCCACCTTGGAAGAGGCAAGTAGTGTTCAAAGACCTCTGTCTCTCTGGATCCCGCGCTGTTGTGCAAGCAAACGGAGTCTTGGGTTCCCCTAAAAGCAAGCAGCAACTTCCAGCTTTATGCAGATTTCTGTGTGGAGTTTCATGTCCTTGCAAATTTTTGTTGAGTGTGGGTCCTGCTTGTCATATCTATCAGACAGCTCCTTCAGGGCAGAGGTAAAGTCCTTTGTAAACTTTCCATAGCAAAGCTCCCGAAACAGGTAGGGGCCCTGGGGTGGTGGGTCTGCACCGAAGAATACTAGCAGACACCCTCCTCACCCACCCCTGCTCACCCTGGACCAAAGACCTTACAGGAGACTTGTGGATCCTGCAGGCTGTGCAGTGGAGGCAATGGATACCTTCATCTTCCCTTGGAATGGCTATGTTGGGATGGTGTCTGGAGAGCCTGGCAAAGTTCAGCACTTGACACTGACTTGTCTATTGACCAAGCCAAAGGTTCTGTTCTCCAGTCCTCAGCATTTCTCATTTTTATCTCCACCCTGTTTGCTGATCAAGGCAATCCCTCTCTCCCCATTCAGCTGTGGTCATAAAGGTCAAAGGCATTAGATGCTTCTTACCTTACTGGTGTTCTGGGGTCTACTGAAGTAGCCCCACAAATAAGAGAAGTTGGTTGTGAAGGGTCACAGGCGTGAGTGTGTGGTGATAGATGGAAAGTCAGACCTACGTGGTAAGTCTTCTAGTCCTCAGGCAGTTCTTGCTCAATATCAGCACAGAGAGTCATGTGATTTTTCTGGAGAGCCAATGGCAGTTGCTCTGGAGAGCAATACCTTCTCGTTGGGGCACAATGGCTTTCTGACCCCCAAAGTACAAAAGTCAGGAACACACAGAGATGCATAGTCTCAGAGGTGACTCGCTGCCAACCTTTCAGTGGAAGGGCACCTTCAAATGCGCATATGAGTCTAAGGAAATGTAGATGCCACTTATCAGTTATCCATGGCTTCTGAAGAAGACAGAGGGGACCTTATTGCTCCATGGATTCTTCTCTTTGCTGAGATTTGGGATTGCTCTAAGGATTTTTATTTGCATTGCAAATGGTGCCATGGTCTTTTTGCCTGAAGCAGATGTCTGGCTGGAACGGAGCCATCATGCTGTATAGGCTGGAGCACAGGGATCGGTGGGTGATCACTGCATCCTAGCACCTGCAGGTCCCACTGCCCAATCCCCAGCTTTGGGCACACACTCACTTCCTGGTGGTCCTTAGAAGAAACACAGGGTAACAAATTGGGGATAAGATCTTCAGCCTGGTTGTCAAGCCAAGATAAGATAACTACATTTTTTTTTAGCCCCAAGGCTGTGGATTTTAGTAGGAAATACCAGTGAGAGGCAAAATTTAATGGCAAAATAAAAACCTATTAAGAAAAGTGTCACCTTATAGCTATGCCCCAACATACACCAAACTGACATTCTGACTGCTAAAGATTAAGATCACCCATTTGGGGGAAAGTTGGGTGAATATGCTGAGCTCTGACCCCTGTGGTTTGGTTTCTTTTCTCTGAACAGTTAGTCTATTTGCTGATTTACTTTAAGTGGTTGAGGCCCCAAGTGTGAGGACAGAATAGGGACACAGAGTCCATGGTCTCAAAGGGAGACAGTAGTTTTGCTGGATGCTAGGGTTGACTTGTTTAGATAGTGACCACCAGCCCCAGAAGCCCCTTATTTCCTAGAAAGGATGACACCCCTTCTCTGGGCCAGGTCTGTGAACCGGTTACTTCGACTTCCTGGTGAACCCTAAGTCCTTTCTCTGGAGCAGAAACTCTTGAGCACCCTAGAAGTTCTACCAAGGCATATGAGTACTGTTCCCAGGCCTTGATCTTACCTCCCTCTGACCATGACAGCATTGGCCCTCATCAATTCCCTACCTCAGGAGCCACCCTACCACCCCCTACCGCCCCAATTCCTCCCCTCTTAAAAATAAACCAGATAACCACACAAACACAAGTTTGAATAATTTATTATTAGGGTAATAGACATCCTGAATAAATACAGTTGTGAGCTTAAATAAATAAATAAATAAATATTTTTTTTAAAAAACGTATAAATATATAAATAAATATTACTGGTCCCTATCAATAGAAAATATCCCTCATTTGTCCCTGGCTGCTGTGACAGAGTCAGCATTTTCAGAGAAGGTCTGTACTGCCCCCCGATGTCGCTGTGGCCCGTCCTTGGTCCCTTCGAGGCAGAACTCCTGCTTTCCTGGCTCATGTTACAGGAGCAAAAGCTGCAATCTGAGAGGTTGGATCCGAGCTGCCCTGGGCCGCCTCATTTCTGGACTGGCTTCCAGCAGTCAAAGGGAATGGTGGCCAGAAAGTCTTTGAGGTTGTCTACGAAGTCGTCATATGTGGTGATGTGTGTCTTACAGTCACTTCTCTGAAGGGAATAAGGAAGAAGAAAAAAACAAAAGCACTTGAGTCCAGGTGAGTGGATGACACAGGAAGTAGCTGTGTAGTTCTTTGTACCACTGAGAACTCAGAGGATCAGGTGACTATACTGCTGCCTGGGGCATGCACAGATCTGCCAATGGCATCCAGGGACTGTGCCCTGACAGAAGGCCTGCCCCGTCTGTAGATTCATGGGGCGGCCTCTTTGGTTCCAGGTGAGAGGCAGGCGGCCAGCTGGAGGCATCTCCTTGCCTCTTAAGAAAGCACAGGACTTACTCTTCCATGAGGAAAAGAAAAGGGGAATATTTGGGGTGTCTGCCCATTCTAGGAGCCCCATCCCTGTATCCATGGAATATGGGCACCCCACAGGAAAGCCCTGTCAGGAAGTGGTGCCTAGGTGCTAGCTCTTCTGGGCTTGGACAGGCTCTGAGTTTCCTCGGGCTTGCCTCACCTCTGACCTCACGACTGATAATGACATGTATGACAAGGGCGGGTGGTTCCTGCTCCTGCCGGGAGCAGCAGGCTCTGCTGATCCTCCGCTTCGCCTCTGGGGATGAACGGGAGCCATGGCCTGTTCTTGAGGGGCTCCTGTGACCTGTCCAATGACACTTGTCAGGATCCCTCCTCACTGGCCTCACCCTCCCAGACTGAAACAGTCCTGCTTTGGGACCCTAATGCTGTGTACTCACCAGGATTGTGGAGCAGTTCTGGTAGTGGCTGGCTATCATTTTCAAGGTGCCCTTGAGTTTGGTGAGGTTGCCCCGTAGGCCCTTCTCATATAACTGCAGGCGTTCCTGCACACATTTCTGCGAGAAGTATCCATTCATTGATAAGCAAAGGCCAAGTGCTCACAGAATACAGGCTACTTTCTCTGCACTCCTTTATGTTCCCACCGAGTGGTACAGGGTCTAGTCATAACACTGACCACTGCCCTTCTCCCTGCCTGGCCCAGGCTACTCTCAGCTGTCCCAGCCACATTCTACAGCCTGTTACCTCAAGAGATTCCCAGTTCCAAGCCCCCTAACTTTGCAAGCGAAGGCTGCTTGATACTATTCTAGGAGAAGGGGCTGGACAGAGTGGGGAAATCCCCCAAGCCTCTTTGTGGGCAAGCCTTGTTCCACAAACCCCTCTGTACCCCTCTGTCGTCAATATCCTCTCTCCATGGCCAAAAGGCACAGTGAAGACTTCAAGGTAAACAAGACCATCTCATAAAGTGACTCTCACTTTCCCATCATCCCCTGCAGGTCCCCTGACCTTTGAATGTTAGTTCTGCCCAAACTTATTGCTCAGTTGATAAAAGACTGCACATGACTGCCCGCCACAGGGGCATGGCTATGGATGATAAAAGCGTGCACATGACTGCCGCAGAGGAATGGCTATGGACATCTTGACTACCCAGACTCTGCCCCCTCCGCCCAGCAGTCAGCTGATGGGAGTTAAGACAACCTTGCAAAGGGCTATTTAAAACAGCTCTGCAGGGACCCTGGGAAGCTCCATCAGAGAGAAGCAGCTTACCTGGACAGAGAACTCTTCAGAGACAATTTCTACATCTTCGTCCTGTAAAAGGAAAGTGCCATGTTACCAAGCTGACAGGCGGGGGCCAGCAGGTGGTCTGGGAACAGCCAAACTCTCTCTCCCTCACTCACCTCCATGTCAGGCGTGTTATCCAGGAGGACCAGGGCTTCTTGGATGGCATTGACATGATTCCAGGGCTGGGTGACAGGGGCGGGTGAGCGAGTGGGAGCAGAAAAGCTACAGACCACAATGCCAAGGAAAAGTAAGATCTTCAGCCACATCCTCCCCAGGACCTTAGCCTTTCTCTCTGAGTACTGGGCTCACTGCAGAAGAGCTCTTATATACACAGTTAGAGGAAATGATTAATGGTGACCACAGAACTCCAGGGGGGCGGGGGAACTACCTGAGTTGTGGAATCTCCTGGCCCTTATCAGCTACACATGGGGCCAGTGAGCCTTCCCTCAGGTTGTCAGGCTTGGGGGTTTTCATTAATGAACCCTTCCAAGAACTGGCAACCCACCTGCCGGCTTCCTTGGGGGGCTCTCCCACCCTGCCTGGGCAGTCTGACCCAGCCTCTGGCTAGCCTCTCCTTCTGAGAGGCCTCCAGGCAAATTTGGACTTCCTGGCCTGGAGTGCCTGGGGTGGGGCTTGGGAGACACGGAGTGGGGCTCCTGCTTGCACCCGCCTGCTCTCCCTGGAGGCCTCAAGGCAAGCCGTACCTTCGCTGGTAGCTCATTCCAGCCCCAGCCCTGTCCCATTCTCTCCCCAGCCTTCTTCTGAGATTTGGACCTCTCACAAGCCCATCCCATTATCTAATTAGATAAAGTCTAGCCAAATGGCACAGTTCTATGATGGTCTCCACAGACTCTCATTGAGGACACAGAGTCACGGGCCCAGCCGAGCCTCCCCGCCACCCCCAATCGCCCTGACCTTGAGAGCAGAGGGAATGGCATCGAAGGGTGTAGAAGCCAGCCCCCGACTACAGCACGTTCTCTCATGGTGCCATCCCAACCGACTTCTTACAATCCCAGTTTACAAAGGTATGTTCAATCCTAAAGGTTCACAGCGTGGCTGGAGCTCCTGGCTGGGGCAGGCCAGGCCCCCCAATCTGACCACTGATTCTGGCCCTCTGAGTTATGTGAGCCTCTTTTCCCTCTTCAGGTCAGCCTGCCCCTTCAAAGAGGGCATACCACTGCTATCGGTCCCACCTGGAGCCTCTGAGGCTGATTGCAAGATGGTAGCTGCCGGGTATCGGGCACAGGGGGCTCTGGCTTCTCCAGCAAGTTCTCCCGGGCTTAGTAGTTTCCTGAACAGCCCCTTGCTCCAGCCCACCTCCCCCTCAGGAGGCCTTTCTGTGGAAGCAGGAACTGCTTCTGGAAAAGCGGCAGGCTCTTGAGGGGCTAACAAGTGTTTGATTTTCACAATGGGTTCTGGAGAAGACAGCACGTGTTTCTGTTTGCACAAGGGATCCGGCCCACACCTCCCGTGCAGGAAGCCGGAGGGCATGGCGCTGCATAGGTCTCTCTGGGTTTGCTGGTGGGGCTAGATGTGCATGCACTCACAGGAACGTGTCAAGATAGAGGAGGTGCTACATAAGGGTGCCTCTAATGTGAGCCCCACTTATTTTGCCTGCTTTGTGAGAGCCTTTGGGTTTCTGGCAGTACCCTTTTGATAGGAGAGGAGGCCTCTGGGCTAAGCAATGTGTTTTCGGGCCCAAGAAGCTGATTCAGTGGACTGTTGAAATTGGACACAAGTGAGGACTTTCATGGCTCAGATAACAGGTGGAACTCAGGACAAGGCCACCAGAGTCATTCAGGAAGAAAGACCGAGCGAGGGTCAGAACGGCTGCTGAAGACATGTTCCCCCGGACCCAACACGTGGCAGGGTAGTGGCCAAAAGCCTTGGGGAATAGCAGAAAGGGAGAAAAGCCAAAGTCAGTGCATACGGGCAGAGCTCCAAGGGTTTGGGGATGCAGTTTGTGGGCAGATACGTATCTTTCTCCTAGAAAGATGACATCAGGGTGGAGGCGGTAACACGGGCAGGGATTCCTAGATTGCATGCGTGGAAAGAAGCGGCAATAACATCAGACAGCCTTGCTGACTCAAGGGCCTCGGTGGGGCCGTGGCGGGGCGGAGGTGGGGACCAGATGGGTGGAGTGACCCACAAGGCCAGGAGAGAACCCTCTGAAAGGAGTTTCCTGGGAGTGTCCCTTGACATGGGCCCTGGGGGAACCAGAATCAGTGGCTGCCCCGGGATCCTTATCACAAGAGGAAGTCTTCACTGGGGGAAGGAAATGGGCCCCAAAGTCCCTCACATCCCACAGGACAGATACATGAGCGTCTAAGATGGTCTGGCTCATCCTTGCAATGGACACTCCTTAGGGAGGTCTTTGTCCTCAATGGGGTCTGAGGTCCAGGAGACCACTTTCAGCTCGGTCCACAGGCAAGGCTGTCAGCAGAGCCAGGACCTGAACTCATGCTTATTCCTGCACCCCGATGCTTTCTACTACCCTGGGGTGGGGGTGGGGGGTAACTCAGGAAATTCTGGTCACCTGCCTGGTCCAGAAAATCATGGGCCTAGCACACTTGTCCATCAGAGAAGCTCTAAAGGGACACTTCTACACTGGCAAGAAGGCATGAGTAGCCTGTGACTGTCCCAAGGACATCTTGGAGCTGAAGGAGAATTTTCCCAGCAGATTCTGCCATCTATCTAGACATTGCTATGCCCCAGGCTTGGACTCTTGTCTCTCTACTCAGCCACCGTGAATTCTGGAATATCCCAGGAAAGTACCGCTCCCTGACTTCCATTGCATCATCCACTTGATGGATGCTGTGTCTGCCGCTGGAAAGTTTATAGGAAGACTTTCCTGGGTGGTGGTGTGGGGGGGGGGCAGCATTCTGATACCTTCCCCATCCTGGGGAAGTCCTAACCTGGCAGAAGACCCAGAATTTCTGGCATGTTCGAGGATTGTTGGGCCTTGTCCTGTCCTGGTCCCCAGGAGCATCTTTCTGGACAGATGTGGTGAAGGTGGTAGGGAGATGGCCTCCATCCAGGTCAAAGCTTATGAAGTTTTTGCCCTACTCTGAGACTGTGATACAACATCCTGGATGGCTTGTGCTTCCCTGGGAAGGTGGTCTTATCCCTCACTGCCACACCAGACACATAGACACCATAGAGCCACAACTCCAGCCTTTGGTGTCTCTGTTCCAAGATGACCCCTCCCACATTCTCTGACCCCTGCCTCCCCAAATACATTTTAAAAGGCCAAATTTCCCTCTAGTTCTGTCCCAGCTACCTGGGTATCCTCAGGCCCCTGACGCTGATGAATCCTGACAAATCCATTCAGCCAAGCCTCCAGGAGGGTGTACAATATGCTCTTGGCTCTCAGAGAGCTTGTGTCTGTGTCCCTATGGGACAGAGGACAGGGACCACCAGGCCTCGATTCACAGGCACGTGGCTGTGACTGCACAAAAATCAAACAGCCATGAAGAAAGCCGTGGTGGGAGTGATTGGGGCAGTCGGCGAAGGAGGTGTCTCTGAAGCTCAGGGTCCAGGTCGGCCAGCTGAGTTAGGGATCATTTGCTTCAGTGGGGTAATACAAACTAACAGTAAGGTTTGGGATGCCAGCCAGACTGGGCTGGATGCGACAAGGGGAAAGCCAATAATGTCCCAAAACACTTGGTCAATATTTTGGTCCAGCGCTTAAGGCCTAACCCTGGAAGGGCACTGGGGTGTCCCAGTGGGCTGCTGGCTTTTGAGGCTGAATCAAGGGTAAATAAGACCTCCTTATTGGTTTCATTTCTTGCTCTTAGGGCTCCTTGCTGCCTCCCCAGGACCTAGCAACTATGCCAGCCCCACACCGGCAGGTAAGTCCTGTGGGCACACAACCCATGAAAGCACCAGGTCTGCCTCCCACAATGCCCTGCCCTTTCGTGGCCTTCTCTTTACCCAGGATTCTCCCTCCAGGGTTAGGATCGTGCCTCACCCCTGAATCTCTACCCCAAGCCTTATCGCCAACTGAGAGATCAATGGGCACCTAGAGGGGACACTACCTTTATTTGCCCTCCTTGAAAGAATCACTGAGAATACATGTTAGAAAAAAAAAAAATAAAGGAGGAGAAATGAGGCTAGAAGCCGTTACAGCATCCCGGAGAGCTGAGGGCCCTTCTTCCCGCTCTAGGTGCAGCGGGAGTCACAGACCCTGGATTGGCTCTGGCACTTGCCAGCTTCAGGAACTGAGGGGTCACAACCGAAGCGGCAATTGCTGCTTTATTTTCAGCAGGACAGGGTCCCGGAAGGAGCCACTCATAGGAGTGTTTGGGTCTTCCAGGCTCCCTCACTCTCCCCAAGCCCCTGTCTGGTCCAGCATGTCAATCGCCTCTCAGGATTTCAGGTCCCAGAAGGCTCTGACCTTTTGTTCACAGGGTCCTTGTTTCTGGGTACCCACCCCCATCCCAGCTGCTGTCAATGTCCCTTCAGCAACCCCCCCTCCCCGAGTCTCTATGGTCCCTCACATGGGCAAGGCCCAGCTGAAGGCCGACAGAGGTCATCAAAGGTAACCATAAATTGGGAGTGCCTGCTGGAGGCAGGAAGGCGTCCTTGGGGACCTCCCATCCCTAGGGCCACAGCTTCCTAACTACTCCCCTCTAAACACACACCGGTTCCCACACTCCTAGACGATGTGTGTCCTGGGAGGGGGGTGCCAAGTCCCTGATGCACCCCCTAGCAAGCAGCAGTCTGGACAGCCATGGATGCAGAGCTGCAGGTGTAGACCTTCCTTCAGCCCAGCCACTGTGCTTCCGAACCACTGTCCTTCTCTGGGCCCACTCTTCATCTTCACAGGGGGATGGAGACCTCTGCAGGCCACTGCGGAGATGCCTGCAGATTGGCACCAAAGGTACTTCCTAAATGTTGCCAAGAGCTTAGTGGATGAAGATTTTTCTGATTAGGTTTTCTGTTTGGGCTAGTTGGCAGGACTCCATTCCAGCCTCCGTTCCCCAGACTGTCAAAGAGAGGAAATCATCACCGGGATCTGGGCAGGTCGGCATTCTGCATGAAGGACAAATAGATTAAATTGTCCCCGATGGAGAAATATAATCCCCATGCAGCCTGCTCTAAGATGTCCCCATGCATACCCTCAAGAGGCCAAGGCAGCCTGTGCAGTGCTGTGCAGGAATCTGGGCAGGCTGCAAAGTGGCTGGGCTGCACCCATTTTCCTGTAAAGAGCCAATTAGGAAACAAGACCGTCTCCCCTATTCCTCTCCCCTATCCTGGCTAGGAG